TTTTGTGTTTGGTCGAGGGGGAGGGTTTCTTACTCGATTGTTCGACCTCTCAACGAGAGCACCAAATGATGGATAGTCTACCCGGGGGTATATATCCGAAGGGTTATTACGGGGAATAACTTAGAGAGAAGTCAGAGCAAGTAAGTAAAAGTAGAGAGAGAGTGTATTCAGTATGAATGCCGTTTTCAGCGTGGTTACAAATGGGGAAATGGGGTGCTATTTATAGTAGCAATAAATGCCGGGCAGGGACACGTGTCAGGCGCTCATTGGCCGAGGGGTCACCTCAACTGGTTGGCGCTGGCAGCCGCATGTGACCGCATTTAATGCGGCTGTTGGATGGGACGTCTGTGCAGGGTACGGTGATCTGGACGCATGTGAGGCGGATATCTTGTCGAGTGAGATGCCTTCGGCTATAGAGCAATGGCCGAGGGCTTCTCCAACTGATGGCACTCTGGTGCCGAGGGCTCACAGTGCCGAGGGCTACTGTTTTCGCCGTTTTCTCCCAGTTTCTTAATTTGCTTGCGAAGCCCGTCCTGTGAGAGTTTAGAGCCTTCGGCCAGGGGGCCGAAGGCACCCCTGGCGCGTAGTGCGGGCTGCTTGGTACTCTGGGCGCTGTGATCTGGGCCTGTTGGGCTTTCTGGGCCTGTTGGGCCTTCGCTGGAGTAGTAGGAGTCTGTGGGCCGGGGGTTCCCGGGCCATATACTCCATCATATATATTCTGTTTTAAACTTGTCTCTGTTTAAAACTCTTTATTTATGTTTTAAATTTTCAAAGTGTCAACAAAATTAATCATCAGGCCTAATTAATTGAGGTTAAGAATAAAAAAGAAGTCTACTCACACTATATATAGAGAAAAATTTTAGACCTATTTTTTCTTCTACTTTTTTGGGCGTAGGGCGGTTGCCCCTCTTGCCCCCCAGAACGGACCCTGGAAACAAGATATATACTTCGTGTATAAAATAGGACGGATGTCTTGCTATTTTTGCAAGTTAGTCATATATAAACTACGAGTAGTTATATAGTGCCATATATGACTCTACTATTGTGTCATATATGGCTCTTGGGTTACTCTACCATAATCACTTGTTTTCACTGTAGGCTCAGTTATTAATTCATTAAAGAAAAAATTCTACTTTTCGTCTCATTACAATTATATCACTTCCACATTTAGTCTCTTACTTTCAGATTGTCCATATTTAATCTGTGACCATTATCCTCTCACCATCCCTCGTCCTTCCGGCCAAAATTCCGACAAATTTACCTCGCCATAGTGTATTCATTATATACTCGCCATAGTGTATTCATATTTACGGTATGCTAGTAAATACTCCTCCCTAAGTTCCATCAACTTTACCAACTTTACTTATATAGAAAATCTTTAAAATATAATTTAAATGCTTTTTTATTATTTATAACATATTTCCTTATAACATAATCTATTCATAATTAAGTAAATTCAACTGGTTGAAGCAAAATTTCACTAATTTGAGTATATTCAATGCTTGTTTGGTACCATTGAAATCAAATGATTCTGTTAAAATTAATGAAATTCTAGTTGAAGCGGTTGAATCGGCTGAATATGTTGAGTTATGAAAAACTATAGGGAAAATTCCCTAAATAAGAGTAGAAAAGTTTTGAAATTCCAAAATAGGACTATCATATTTTTATTCACTAAATATGAGTAATTTTTGTCAAGTTTGACATTATCAGGATTTAAACATGGCAGTTTATGCCACCTTTTTTCAAATTTGACAGAAATTACTCTTATTTAGGAAATAAAAACATGAAAGTCCTATTTTAAAATTTCATAATGTTTTTACTTATATTCAGGGCGATTTCTAAAAATTATATTTGAAATAATCCTCTACAATCACACAGAAAATTGAGTCACGTGTTTTGTAAAAAAATGGTCAATAAGTGTAATAAACTGAAAACAAGAGTTATTAAACGGGATTTCAGTGGATTCAATCAAATTTGAGTCTGGCCATACAAGATCTATAAACATTTCAAATCAACTTAAAACGATTAACGTGACCAAATTTGTGAAATTTTCTAAAGTCAACTGAAATAGTTCACTCTAGTGAATCATGAAAAAATTATATGTAGAATAAAATTCATTGATAGAGTAAAGATTAAACATAAAAAGCAATTATTATTAGTAAACTTAAAAATATTGATAGAATTTAAAAAAGCAATTATTCATTGAAAAAATTATATGTAGAATGATGTTTGTACACACTTTTGTACACACTTTTGTACACACCGTTGTCTGTGAAAGTTTTTTTTTGTCTGTGAACATCGATTCACAGACAATGTTTTGCACAAACAAAATATTGTCTGTGAACCGGATTCACAGACAAAAAAAAAAACTTCACAAACATGGTGTGTACAAGGTGTGTACAAAGATGTGTACAACAAGAATGGTTGATTTAAAATAGTGCATACTTCCCGATCATGCTAAAAATAGCAATGAGGAATGCTAAAAATAATGGAAATAAAATGCTAAAGAGTGCCTGCCGGCTTATTTATATGGCCAAACATAAGAGTGAATAAAAATGTAAACATGTTTTCCGTAGACACTACAAAAAAATTCGCCTGTAGTCACGAACTTAGTCACGGACCGTAGTCACGGAATTCTATCTGGAGTACATAGATGGTGTGATTTTGTTGAATGAAGCTGAGGTTGCATATATAAATTTTGTAGTCACGGACTTAGTCACGGATGTGTCCGTGACTACATTTTTTGTACGAATTGTCGGTGCACTTTAAATTTGGAACGTTGAAAAAATCAATTTTGCACTTGTCACGAAATTAGTCACGGACGTGTCCGTGACTAACTGTAGTCACGGACGTGTCCGTGACTAACTGTAGTCACGGTACTAGTCACGGACTTGTCCGTGACTAATTTCAAATTTAAAAAAAATCCCGCCGGAGGCGAAAATGGGTTGGCCGGAACACTATAGTCACGGACTAGGTCCGTCACTACCTATAGTCACGGACGTAGTCACGGACAAATCCGTGACTACTTTTTTTTAACGGTTCCGTGACTAAACCGTGATTAGAACCGTGACTAACTAGTCACGGACCAAATCTGTGACTACGGTCCGTGACTACAGGCGAATTTTTTTGTAGTGAGAATACATGTAATAGGTATGTGTGTTATGAGAGGATTATACAAAAAGCTAAACCCTTAAAAATCTCTATAGGAATGGAACTCTATCTCCTTTGGAGGATATAAGAATAACCCAAACTCATCTAGCTACCTTCTCCGATTGAAGATCTTTGACATGAAGCTTCCAATTTTGATCACCAATTCGCAGGGCAAGGAGTATATACCTGAGTTTGGAGTCTCCAGAATCGTCGAGTAAGACAAGGATCCCAACATCTTCACCGTTTGTCCTTTTCTTAGAACGATGGTGGATGTAGAAATCATTTGGTTTGCGAGGCTTGTTGATGGAGCTCAAAGAGTGAACATCAGAGATGGAATGGATGGTGTCGCTGAGCTTATCGTGCAAACCCCATATTTTCTCGAGCACCACTTGCAGCTCTTTCTCTTCCTCGACCTCCATTTCCCATTTCATGGAGATCACTAAATCTCCTTTTGTAGGGTTAGGTAATTTCTTTCTTCAAATCGGTTGGCCTATCCAATTGATTATTCATTGTCTGAATCCTAATCACAATACTCACCTTTGAGAGGAATGCGATAGAGAAAAACGATCGAGAGAATGAAAGAGATAGATGGAAACATGACGGAGGATTATTACGGAGGATTAACTTACAACCAATATCAGATACTTTAGGGGCATACTAGCAAAATAACGGGAAAATTGAATGCATTAAAATAATAGATCTACGTGTAAACGAAGTGCATGTGTCATAAGCTGAATGGATAGGCACGGTACCTTAAATTTTGTGAAGGTACCGGAGTAGGCACCTTTTATTATTTATATGCACACTCATTTACAAGTGAAATAATTCAAATAAAAGAGTTATATATGTTCCTGTCAAAGGCGTGAATGAGTGCAATCTTATTATATATGGTGCATTATTATTATACTAGTTTAGTACCCGTGCGATGCACGGGACTTTATAAAGTGTTTATATAATAATTGTGTTCTTCAAATTGTTCACTATATTAATTTAATATGAATAATACAATTCTAATTAAAACAAAATTGAATAGATAAATACATAGTAATAAATGTTTTTATAAATTTTTAAACACTTCTTTTATACAACATTTTTTGTTACATTGGTATCTTTATCATCTTGGTCAAAGCTAATAGAATTTGTGTGAGACAAATAAGTAAAAAAAAGTTCAAAGTTTAATAGAATAGAGTTTTTTGTATGTAAAAGCTAGCTAATTACAACATAAATTTTATTGAAAAATTTTAAGCAATTTTAAAATAATACTCCCTCCGTCCCTTAAAACTTTGACAACTTTCCTTTTTTGGTTGTCCCACTAACTTTGTCACTTTCTCTTTTAAGTAAAGAATTTGTGGTTCTAGTTAATTTTCTCTCCTCTGCACAAACCTCTACCACACAGTTTTTACTTTATTAATCTCTGTGTCGGTCAAACATGGCAAAGTTTTAAGGGACGGAGGTAGTAATCTATTAAACATCATTAATTGAAAAGATGAATACATCTATTATTCTTAAGTAGCCTGCCTAATACATTTAAAAACCCCAATGGAGTAGCCCACACCAATTGATTATTCTTAAGTTAGCATATCCAATTGATTATTCATTGTCTGAATCCTAATCGCAATACTCACCTTTGAGAGGAATGCGATAGAGAAAAACGATCGAGAGAATGAAAGAGATAGATGGAAACATGACGGAGGATTATAACGGAGGATTAACTTACAACCAATATCAGATACTTTAGGGGCATACTAGCAAAATAACGGGAAAATTGAATGCATTAAAATAACAGATGTACGTGTATAAGAAGTACATGTGTCATAAGTTGAATGGATAGGCACGGCACCTTGAATTTTGTGAAAATTGGCTGGTTTATATCACGAAAATAAACTTATTAATCAGATTTCATCTAGTTACGCAAGTAGTTACACCATAGTTGGGTAACTACACCAACTTCCAATCTGATTTGATGATGTGTGATTAAGCAATATTACATGACAATAATATTCCATGAAAATCATGTTTACACAATGAAGAAAACATAAAAAAAAATCATTTTGAATAGGTAGACAGAATGTTGGTGACAAAAGGCCGCGTCTTGCATTTAGCCACCAAAGGCGATGTTTTGGGCATTGTCAAACCAGTTCCTTCACTCATATCTATCAACTCACTTCCAAGTCTTTCCCAATCAAAGCATTGGATAACCGAGGCTAATGACAACCCAACCACGCGCCATGCCAGTGCTTCTCCAGGACAACCTCTCCTACCAGACCCAAAAGGCATCCATTTATAACCATGTTCTTTGGCAGTAGTAATTGCTTCTAAGCCTTTGAATCTTTCTGGCTTGAATTTTTCTGGCTCATCCCAGTATTTGGGGTCTCTCTGGATGGAATACAAGTTGAGCAACAGCATTGTCCTTTTCGGGATGTGATAGCCTGCTATAGTGCACTCCTCTGAGGACTCGTGTGCGACTGCGAGAGGGGCAACGGGGTACATTCTCATTGCTTCCTTCATTATACAATTCAAATATGGGAGTTCAGCTATGTCTGATTCTTCAATTAGTCTCTCATATCCTACTTGGTAATCAATTTCTTTTTGCGCCTTCTTCAAGATTTGTTGGTGGTTTAGGAGCAATGAGAGTGTCCATTCCATGGTTGCAACTGATGTGTCTGTTCCTGCTTCTAAGATAACCTATAATATAACATAATCAATCATTTCTTCATGTTATTGTTGGATAGTATTTCATTTTATTTGATATGAGATGGATATATCTCTTAAACAATTCCCTTGCTCAACACAAATACACAAATTAAAGTAGTCCCTTACTCGATTACTCCCTTCACCTCATATTAGTTTTCCATTACAAACAAACAAAAAAGTAATATAAGAACTATAGGTATTGGGTGGGTTGATAACTTGATATTGATTCTTCTTAAATAAATATCTCTGACATCATCTTACTTTTTACATGAGCATAAAAGGGTGCACTTAAAGCATGTTTGTTATTCTATAAAATAAACATCTTGAAGTGTGGAAATATAAACATTTTACATTGTTTGTTTTAATTTAATATAAACTGAAAGACATTTTTTTAAAAATGTTTTACATTGTACCATGTAAAATATTTCACTTGAAGGAAGACAGTAAACTTGTTTACGTCCCTTATTACAAAGAACAAATATATCTAACCTAGACTTTGAAAGAGATCAGCCTTGAGCCTTTACCTGCTTGAATCAATTACGATTTCAAACGATGACAATAATGTAGTCATAACTCTATGCTTGATTTAATAATCTTTAGTTCCTGTTTTCAATTTTTATAAACTAACTATTTATTTCATTTCGAAAAAAAATCTAACTATTTAGTTTATCAATACTAAATTGGTATCCAACAACTTTGCACATATTTTGCAATCTAGGATGGGCTTGGTAGTTCAATTCTTTGCAAATAATTTACATGTAAAATTATTTTTCAAACAAATATTGTAAAGAGTTTGCGTGTAATTCAAAAATAGATTACACAGATTTTCAAACGATGTATTTTTAGTATGCTTGCAAATCAATTAGAGGATTTAGAGCCCTACACTTTACATGCAACCATTTTGCATGTAAATTATTAATATGTGAACTACCGAAAGAGCCCTTAGAATGAAGAGGAGTAAGAAAAATCTAAAATGATTAAAGTGATGGCATTTGATGAACTTATTGAAGTTGATTGAATACTTCATTCTCGTGGAAGTATTTGAAATAAATGGAAATTATTAAAGGAAGCTCTCTAGTAACTTTAACAACTTCAATTAAAAATGAGGTGGTCTTCCTCTCGTTTGTCCATTTTTCTCTCGCGTGTCGAGAGCGGTGTAATGTCGCACTTCTGCGAATTCGTTTTTTTTTTTTTGCATTTTGATCAAGTGCAGGTTCAAGAAAGAATAATCATGGCTTCTATGATGATTTAGAGCAGCGTTGTCCTATTTCAGCAATCGAGGAAGAAATCGAAAGGTTGGTTTTTGGCGATAGTGGAGGCGGCACGGGCGACGAGCAGACGAGGAGAAATGAAGGGCTGAGCAAGTGAGATGACAGATCGTCAGTCTTCCCCCTTCATGAATCGCCGCCTTGAAGCAATCAAGAAAACTGGCAAGAAGGAGTTTGAGGTATTTATTGATTATTTTATTTTTTTATGGTCTTATTTTCGCATTTTGCTTGTTTACGTTGCTCTGTTTTTCATTGATGTCTTTAGTTTTAAATCTACAACAATGATGAGCAATTCTGCTAGATACTATGTTATTATAAAGATCTATATGACCAGTGATTGTTGTGTCACACCCATTTGGCGGTTAGCTATTCGCTCTTTTGGGGTTGACCGTTTCTAAGTCTAGTCGTAGAGTTGATAATGCTTGTTGATTACGGATAGTTATTGTTATTAATCTATTTGAGTTCGTTGTAATGATCACAATATTAATGATATTAATATAAATGATTTTTCCTTTCAAAAAACACTCCCAATCTTAACGGGTGTTTGGATCTGATTTTAAAAACTGCTTCTGCTCCTTCAGGAAGCAGAAACATAAGTTGGACTGTTTGGGTGAAATTGCAGAAGTACCTCCGATGGTCTAATTTACTCCTAGAAATAGTTTGTTAAGAAATTGAGGGAGATCTGTTTTTGAAAAATTGACACTACTTCTGCTTTTACATTAAAAAAGGAGAAATAGAATCAATTTCAAACCCTTACTTACCCTTATCTAAACGGCCTATTAAAGGACTATATAAGAATTACGGAGTACGAAGTGGCATATATGGCATACTCACCCCTATGAGGCCTCTGATAATTTCATCTTTGTAATATTCGGGTTCCTTTGCTTGCCGGGTCAACAGTACATCCACAAATGATTTCTTTTTCTCTGCCGCATCACCGCCGCCGTCATCCATCCTTTCCCGGCATTCTATAATCAAATCCTGAAAGTAAGCATCTCTCTTGAGCTGTAACTGTCGCAAACTCTCCTCCAATTTCACGGACAGCCTACTCAAAGAAGGCACGTAGTCTCCGATGTTGGTGGCCCCACTGAGGAGGAAAACCTCTCTGACAATCTCCCTGAATCGATCCGCCTCCTTGACATCCACTTCCTTGTCGTCGCCGTAATAACGTTTTCCGGCGATCATCCTCATCATCAGGTTCAACATCAGCTCGAAAAACACAGTCTTCATGTCAACCTGAGAATCCGCTATCGAAGCCGAATCCAGCTTCCGGATCATTGATTTCACCTCGTCTATACGAATTTGTTGGAGCATCTGGAGGCGATTATTGGACAGGATTTCGTTGACGGCGATTTTGCGGAGATTGCGCCAGTGGTCGCCGTAGGACGCCAAGGCTAGGGAGGTGTAGTTGTACCCTATATGTTTTCCGGCAAGGAGACGGGGACGATTCGCAAAAACGACGTCGTTCCCCGACATCCATTCTTCCACCGCGGACGGAGAGGAGACCGTGAGGACTTTCCGGGATCCAAACTCGACCAGGACGACCGGTCCGTATTGCGTGGAAATGTTGGTTAAGGTTTTGTGGAGAGACTTCTTAAAGAGGTAGAGATGGCCGACGACGGGGAGGGTGAGGAACGGGGTCGGCGGGTAGTTCTTGAATTTCCGGTGGAAGTGTTTAGAGATTAGATAGAAAAGGAAGAGGAGAGGAGGGTAGAATGGAAATGGGCTGATGGCTGTGTAATCCATGAATTCAAGAAAGATTTTACAGTGAGCGTGAAAATATAATTGGCAATGCCGCGGTATATTTTGGTAGGTAAATATGGTGAATTTATACTTAGAGCAGAGCCAATATTTGACAGAAACATCTGCTCAAAAAAAAAGTAAGCAATGATGTGATCTTGTGGTGTTGGACTTCTAGGTGTAGGTCGTGATCTCGTCGTATTTAGGTCGAGGTCGGCCTCGGCTGGAATTCTGTTCTTTGTTGATTCGTTGTCCCACATCTTTTCCCGACCTTGGGTGTCAAGGTCGGCCTTGAATGTAACTCCCGTGTTCGAGTGTTTTGAGATGTTTGGGAGCCTTTTTGTCCGTCAATTATGATACCTCTGAAGTACACGAGAATATATTTCATCATTTAAACATTACAACATATTGCCACAGTTGGCAATATATTCAAAGGTTGACAATATTTTTAATATAAAGACAATATAACATAACACCCCTATTTTGAAAATAACAAACATTTTTACTTATATTTGGAACAAATTTTTAAATATTTAAAGTTTTCTTGCATAGCGTGGTAGTTGACACTTGACATGAATATTTTAAGTGCAATTGAGATACAAGAAAATTACTTATTTGACTCCCTAATTAGGTAGACTACTTTAAAGTATGTAGTACTTATTTAGGTCTCTTGACCTGCCGTCGGATGCCTAATACTAGTAGTAATTACTTCGTAATAATTATTATTAAGCTAATGGTTCGGTTCCGCGTAATTTACCATATAGTCAAATATGACGACTTGAAATGTTTCCAAATGTTCCCTGCTAGTTTTATGAAAGATGTTTCAAATTATCCTAAATACGAATAAAAATGTTTCCAATATTGAAAGAGGAATATTATATTTACACTTTCTAAATAGTAAAAATAAATGTCATATTTGACATCATCAGAGTATGAACTTGACGATTAAATTTTAAACTTTGACAATAGCTACTAAAATTCAAAGAATATAAATATGGTATTTTTATTTTGAAATTTCAAGAAGTTTTTACTACTATTGTGAGAATTTCTCCCTCACATTCCTCTTCTGTAAACCTTTACAAGAAATGATTTTCTTTTGGGAGTCACAAAAACAAATATTGAAAGAGGCTATGTTATCTAATCGTCGAGTACTCACTGGGTATTAGCCGAGTACTCATTACTCGGGGTAGGGCCTTGCCGATTAGTACTCTACTTGCACTACTACATTTTTTCGAGTAACTCGTCGAGTACTCAGCAATTTTCACTACTGAGTGATCAGGTTGACTCGCCGCGTTACTCGACTGCCACTTAAATTGTTCTTTTTTGCGATAAATTTGAAAATATTAAACTAAATTGGGAAATTGCAGAACTTATGAAAAATTAGCAAGTACTTTAAAAATTAGTAGCTATTTTACCGACTCACCCGAGTAAGCAGTCCTACTCGATCGTGACTCGACCCTTCACTGAGTTGCCATCGAATAGCGATCTAACTACTTACCTTAGAGGTATATTATTTTAACTCTTATAATTGTTCCATACTAACCCTTTCTTAAATATATAAGTGCAACATGTTGGATTTTACACTACAAACATGTTCATCATTTGCTACGCTTTTTTATTAATATATTAAAAATTATTTCCTGAAAAGTATTGTTAAATTTGTTTCATCTATCTTAAAATTTCTCTTTTACTATAATTATTTAAATATATTAATTGTAAAAGTTGTATATCCAAAAACATGAAAAATGAAATGTTGCACTTAAAAGAAAATGGAGACAATATTTAGTAATTATTGGGTTGTTGATGATCTCAAATGACTTTTCGATTTTAGTCTAGTTCTAAAAGAGATAAGTATTACATCAATAATTTAACCAACTATCTTATTATCTTAAAGTGTGTGGTATAAGTTTTCATCATTATTCATTATTTTGAGTATAAAGTTCATAAAAGGTCATGCAACTTCAAGTAAACTAATACTCGATCTGTCTCTTTAAACATTGTCAAGTTTGACTGGTACGATGATTAATAAAGTAAAAACTATATGGTTGAGATTTGTGTAAAGCAGAGAGAATTTAATGGAACCACAAATTCTATACTCATAAGGGAAAGAGACAAAGTTAATGGACCATCCAAAAAAAGAAAGTTATGTTGGCAAAATTTTATGAGACGGAGGGAGTATCAGCCTTTCATAAGTCTTGTGTGTTGGAAAATATTTCATTTAAGTGCCCTTGGACTATTTATAAAATTTAAGATATATTGGGGACATTTATGTCTTACAATTAAATTTGTCATATGACAGATTTGGTCCCTGTATTTATGTATAGTTAACATATGATGGGTATGTTTTAACATTAAATAATACATAAGGGACCAAAGGGGTTTCTCTTTGATACAAGATAAAAACACTTGTATGTTCCATTCTTACGACTAAAATGGCCGGACACGTCTCTTCCCAAAGGTCTCAAGAACACCTATATTAGGAGACCCAAGGAAGATCGTTTAATCCATCGAAATCTGCTTGTATCCTTAGAGAATCAAACGTCATGGCTTTATCGTCTTCTACGACATCATCAACATTCGGTTTCTCCTCAACCGGTTAGTGTTCTTATTTCTTGATTCTATGAATTTTATCATGTTTGCGAGATTAGATTCTTACTTGGGACTGAATTTCTCAACATTTGGTATCAGAGCATGTTAAATCTCATCTTTGTTCGTTTTTGTCGCGTTAAACTTTCATTCGCTGTTTGAGTTTATCACCAGTTTTCAGTTTCGATATTTTCTACAGCGGATGATAATTTAAATTTACATTCTGACATGCGTTTGATTTCTTTATTTTTAAAGCATCGGATCTTAGTGTGTTGTCTGCCACTATGTTGATTTCCATATGTGAAGTGCAGACACATAGCACTTAATTCATATACCTTGCTTGACCTTTCTATTAAAACTCAAGTTTTGATGTGAACCACTATGTTTGTTTACGGTTGTTTTGGATAAAACTATCATTAGTTTATTTCTTTAAAAAAAATCTGAAATCCCCAACCAATGCATACTACTCCTTAGTCCTGAAGTGCAAAGTGGTTTTATCAATAAGTGTTGAGTGCGTGTTGACACCATTTAATAGCATGTGATGCTTAATTCTTCATTTTCAATCCAGTTTTAATTTGATTATTTTGTCTGTTTTTTGGTTGATCAAACATAAAGTAAAAGTAATCAAAACTGATATACAGAGTGATGAAATCATGGGTCGGTGGTTGTCAATTTAATTTGTTAGTGCTGTTGATATCTCTATATTTTCCAAAGTGATGTCACTGGTGTGTTGTTTTCTATTTGTATAAGAGGATAAAAGCACACACGTTTTTCATCCTAAATGCATGACTCAAATTAATTTCTGCAAATGTTTTCCAGAATGAATAACTTCATTCCAACGTAGGGTAACCCATCTGAATTTCATCTGAATTGAAACTGACGACCAGATCATTTGCATTTTAAAAGATGCTTAATCATAATCCATGATACAAGAATAATACTGCAGCAAATTCAAATTTGCTTCCATATTCAAAGTTGTAGTATGGATTATTAACTAATTATCTTAATATCATATTCAATGATCGGCCCAATGGAAGATTATTGATTTTGACTATCTTAAACAATTATATGAGTTTTCTTTTAACAAACCCAAAGGTGTGTTATTTGATAACTTGTATAATGAAATTAAGCATAATCAAATGTGTTATATTTTTGCTCAAAGGTGATATGTGACACAATTTGCAGCCTAATTTTAATTTTAATATCATAATGTTTGATAGTTAGCATTAGCCAACGCAATGTTTGTTATTAAACATGATATGAATTGTTCCTATTTTTTGGTGTTGATAATAGGCTTATTTACTAATAATCGACGTGCATTATTGTATTCCCTTATATATTATAAATAGCTTCTATTATTGCCTCTGTTAAAACTTTTATTTCAGCATCTACTGTTACCCCATACAATTATGGGATAGAACCTCTAAATGGTACAAACTTTTCAACATGGAGAGAATCTGTAAAACTCTCACTTGGCATGATGGACCTTGACCCAGCGCTGAGAATTGATCCACCAGATGCTCCTAACGCTGAGAGCAGTGTGGAACATAAACGTTCTTATGAACAGTGGGAGAGGTCCAACCGAATGTGCCTCATGATAATCAAGAATTCCATATCTGTAGCTATTCGCGGAGCCATTCCAGACTCTGAAAATGCGAAAACCTACCTAGAATATGTGGAAGAACATTTTAAGGGCACTTTTAAAGCACATGCTAGTACCTTAATTCTCAAAATGTTGACAAGTAAGTATGATGGAGTGAGTGGTATTCGTGAGCACATAATGAAAATGTTTGATATGTCCAATAAGCTCAAAAGTATGGACATGGAGATCAGTGAAGGTTTCCTCGTTCATTTCATAATGACTTCTATACCTGCATCTTATGGTCCGTTCAAGATCAATTACAACATGCAGAAAGAGAAGAGGACAATGAGCGAGTTGATTGCTATGTGTGTTCAAGAAGAAGAGCACCTAAAAGTTGAAAAACCAGATGTTGCTCATCTCACCACCACAAACTCAAAGAAAAGGAAAGGTAATCGTCAAGGAGGAAAAGGTAACATTTCTAAGGTCCCAAAGATAGGTGCAAGCGTGAGCTCCGGTCCCTACTGTAAGTTTTGCCGTTTCAAAGGGCATTACCAGAGGGAGTGTCCTAAGTTTAAGGTATGGCTGACTAAGAAAGGTAACTTAACCACTTATGTAATTTATGAGTCATTGAACACATCAATTCCCCTTAATACTTGGTTGATTGACTCTGGTTCAATGGTTCATGTTTCAAACACACTGCAGGGATTCCATTCAATCCGGACATTGGGAAGAAATCAAAGAGTGATTAAGATGGGCAACGAAGAAGAATTAGAAGTGGAAGCTATTGGAACTATCTCATTAATTTTAGAGAGTGGCTTCATTCTTCATCTTCGTGATGCTCTTTATGTACCTAATATTACTCGTAATTTGGTGTCTGTATCGAAACTAAGTGCTGATGATTTTACATTTAATTTTGTGTACAATAAAGTGACAATAAGCTTGAAATCAAATGTAATAGGATTTGGTAGCATGGAGGGAAACCTCTATAAATTATGCTTAGATACTAATTATATGGAATCCCCGTTGTCATTTAATATAATTGAAAATCCTTGTAAGAGAAAGAGAGAATTGGAATCATCGTTTAATTTGTGGCATCAAAGGTTGGGCCACATATCACGAGATCGAATGATAAGACTCGTGAAAGACGGAATTCTTCCAAATCTTGACTTCTCAGATTATGACAAGTGTGTAAAGTGTTTGATAGAGTATATGTCTAGAGAGAAGTGAGAG